GAATACACGAGACAATGCAACATTTCCCATATTCATATTGATATATCTATCTAGATTCATATGAATCTAGATATATATATATCTATCTAAATTCATTAACATCAATATAAATATAGAAAATGATAGAATGACTTACATGGTTTCAATTCAGTTTGGTGGCTGTTAGAGGATATCATCATAAAGACCAATTGAGGGGAGTATTGTTTTTCTTCCCCTCAATTTCGAGGCATGAAAGCTATCGGTATTAACATCATCTGCAGTTCTGCACATCAGTTTGACTCAACGTGTACGTTTATCTGAAGAAGGGATGGCCCCGAAATATTGCCCCGTATTTGTAATAAATAGTCCAAAATAATAAGGGATATATTCTCTCCGTTTTATATTATAAGTCATTTTAATTTTTCTCTAGTTACTTTTTAAAAGTTTGATCAAGTTAATAGAAAAACATAATAATATTTTTTAACACAAAACAAATATATTATCAAAATATATATTAAATGTTTGATTTAATAAAATAAATTTGGTATTTTAGATGTTGTTAATTTTTTTATGTAAACTTGGTCGAACTTAAAAAAATTTAAAAGAAAAGGATAAAACAACTTATAATCTGAAAATGACATATCTTTTGAGAGAGGCGTTGTCATGAGAAAAAACAATGTAGCAGCACCATTTGGGTACTCATGGGTATGCTAAGGCTGTGTTCTTCCCACACCTTTTTCAAGTCACATCCCTCGTATTCGGCACACGCGTTTTTCAAACTATTAAACTTTTCAAAAGATTTATATACGAAAATTGCTTTAAAAAATCATATTAATCATAAGAAAATGTGTCGCTCTGTTTTACTTGCGCGGGAGATGAGTTTCCAGCCTAATTTTGTCTTGTGTTTAATCGCAAGAAATTTGGTATTAAATAATTCTATCACATTTGATTTTATTATATTTTTCTCACACTAAGATTTACGTTGGATCATTAGTATGAGAAATAGATAATACGGTCATTTTAGAATAAATATTGCCAGTTAACTGACGAAATATGTATACAAGATGGATATAAGCATATAGATAAGACCAAAACAAAACCTCAGGGCATGTAGGGGTGAGGTAAAATTCAGGGCCTGGAAAGGATTGAGGTAAAATTCAGGGCATGCAATGAATTTTCTCGGGTTCTTTTTTTCTGTTTAGAGAATTTGAATTCTGTGGATATGTGTATTTTCAAATGGTGTTAGCCAAACTTCATAGAGAAGTCATCTCGAACTTGATTCTACTCCATAATTTCCACATCTTTGCCAGGGATTAGATTCTTACAAAAAAAAAAGAAGGCGTGGTAACGTTGCAAAGCAAATCAGAAATGTAGCTTTGCTAAGCATTTAATTCATATTTCATAGACGAGCGCACAAAACATGTGTTTTTTTTAAAAAAGAATCAATGTGTTGAAGCAGTTGGTGCGATATTCCATCAGTGTGGTGATGCTTTCGCAAGGACTAGAGAATAGTGCTTGATATTCTGCCGTTCCATTTTAGCCATGCGATTTCTGCCGACACAAAGAAGCTGTAACAGAACATCATCTCTCTCTTACTAAAGGAGGGCATCCATCTGCCTATAATTTGCTGAGGAGTAACTGTTACAGAGATGGTGGGCTAACATTAATCGCTAATGGTTGTTTCATGACCAGATTCAACAGTAGAATATAGTAAATGGATGTTAAAATTAACGTTCTGGGGACATCGCAGCATCCTGCCAACTTTCAGCTCCACTGATTAGTTGGCGGTTACTGGCGAGAATCTAATTAAGTTTGGTGTACAATCCAATCAGTGAGCGGAGCTCTCTGCTCCAATGTTTTGGCATTTGGCCAACAATTAATTCATGCAGCGAGCAATCCATTTCAGCTCGACAAATGCCAACACAGAGATAGGCACGTCCATGCTCGTCACATGTGGACTTCGTTTGTCAAAATGGCGTGTTGCCAAGAGTGTACGTATCAGTGCACTCCGTTGCTTGTAAACAACTAGGAGAAAATACTGGTCCATCCAAAAAGCAGAAGAAAAGGAAGAAACGAGATAAGGTTCATGATATATACAAGGATACTGTTGGTGGTGCATGATTTGCATATACCTGTACAATAACAGTACAGTACAGTGGGAGGAGAGGGCTAGTCTGTAAAGCGACGCCCACGCAGAAATGCAGAATACAAAACGAAATACGTAGAGGAAAGGGCATTGCCGCATCAACATCACGGGAAGAATTTTGTTACGGCCCTTTCAATCACGGTACACACCAATTAATGAGATCTGGTTCGAACCAATAGGCTGGACAAGGACAGCACCCCGACCACTTCGCTTTCAGGGGATCCCTGCGTTAAGTTCTTTTTTTTTTCTTTGGCCCTTTTGGTAGGCTACACGCTTCCATGTGTCTCAGAACCGTGAGCTGTGACTGGCTCTCTCCGGTTTCCCTTTTTCTTTCCCACCCAGACACCCAGTCCCGTTTTTTCCCTTCCTTCCAGTACTTATCCCTGCGAGTTTTGTCCCATGAGGCCACATGGACACGCACCGCATGGACGCATGGTCCCCCAACCCCGACCGCGTCCGATCGTTCGGCGTCCCTTCGCACACGACCTGGCTACGGTTCTCCGTTGCTTGGTTGCTTGCCTCCTAGCGCGCGCGCGCCCCGTCACCGTCACGCCGCGCACCACCTGCCAAAAAGGCGTCCCACCACGTCGTCCTCCTCCTCGTAATAGCCGGCCGTTGCTGCGCGCGCCTGCGCGCCGGTGCGTCTCTCGTGTGGAGAGGGGCCGCGGCCGCTGCGACGTGCGGCACGGGCGGCTTTTTCTCCGCAACGGGTGGGCGTGGACGGGGTTGGGTTGATGATGATGATGAGTGGTTTCTCCGCGCGCCGGTGCGGACGCATTGAAGGCGAGCGTGAGACGCGAGCCGGCGCGCGCGGTGGCGGAGGCAGCCAACCACCCCACCCAGCGCCCGGTGTAAATGTGGTCGAATCGCGATAGTCAGAGCTGCGTTCCTGTGACCACCACCGCCACGTCCCACCCAGTGCAGTGCATGAGCCCAGCCCATCGCACTTTTGCACAGATGGATGGATGGATGGATGGTGAGGCCACACAGCCATATCCCGTTCGGGGTCAGACGCACACATGCCTCCATTCAAAGTGCCAAACTGACCAGGCAGCTCGTGATGGACGCGATACACGCCACGAATAAATACCAGATGAGATGAGATATTGAGATGGCAGTTAAACTAAACTACTGCTACTGCTGCTACACGCACTGGCCCAGCTTCTTCACTCCACGTGGGGCAGGGGAAAACAGAGCATGGTACTACAGTAGGAGTAGTACGCTTTGTACATCTCGCAGTGTATAAAGGACGTACGGTTAGTGGGCACGGGGCACGAATCTAGAAGAATTCAATGGGCCAATGGGGAGTGTTACCATCTGAATGTGATTACTGTTGCCGGAGACTTTAAACTAAATGATCTCAAGGCATCGTCCAGCCACGGCTGCTGAGGCAAGGGTATCTTGAGATGCATCACGCATATGGTGGCATGATGGATTTGAGCTAGAGATCATATGGGGGGTGTCACTAGTTTAATCCGTGGGCTCTGCGAGCAACTGAATTGTTTTTCTAGCGCCCAGTGATGACTGATGACTACTGGTCTTAACCGAAAGCATGTAGTTGGTACTAACACCGGGACTTTTTTTACAGTAGCTTTGCAACTGTGTTTGTTAATTCCACATGAGCTTATCAGGCTATGTTATTAAATTGTGATGGTATAAGAGGAGCCTAGCAATCCACGATGCCTTTTTTTTTTGCCTTATCTAAAGCTCACATCCACTGGTCTTGTGCGATAGTTTAACAAAAGCCAGCCTTCTCTGCCAACCACTGCCCACAATGGAGGACAATTATACCACCCTTTATTTGCTCAGCACCACAAGTATATTTGCGAGTTAATCACAAGCAACAGGCTTCGTGTATTTTCGTGTAATGATGTTGTAGGCTACTTGTGGTGCCCACATAACCAATCATTACACTCGCCTGGTTTTTCACTTCTGGAAATTGGAGGGCAAAGAGAGCAACGGTGCTACTAACATGAGTAATCTAATGTTATTTCTTCCACGATCTCCTTTCCACCCGTTTTGGAGATCACAGGTGTCCATGGTAAGAAAAGGGGAGAACATAAAAGGTGAGATCAAAATAGTCGGTAGGTAGCATTGCAAATTTTGACAGAAAACAACGGTTTCGTAACGAAGCGTGTGATGCCAAAAGAGTCTCTCAAACCTTAAAGGTGGACATTCGGTCTGACCAAAAATTTCTGTCTTGGCCTTCGGTCTTTCGGTCATTTCAGTATTTGAAGAGTGAAGACCGAATTCCAACACAAAAATATCAGGACCGATAAATTCAGTCTCGGTCTCAGTCCTGACCGAAATTCAGCAACATTTTCATATATGTAAAGAAATAATAGAAATTTTCAACACAAAAATCACAAAAAAAATTCATAAGCAAGTATGAATAAAGACTCTTATTAGGTTGCATGCCTATAAGAGTAGGGATGTGAAAATTAGAGTTTAATCCTATTGAACTTAGTGGGTTGTAGGTTGCATTTAGACCTTTTTTTTTTAATTTGGTCTTTTCGGTTTATTCGTTTAACCGAGGAGACTAACAGAATTGACTGAACAAAATTTGGTCTTTCACTGCCCAGGACCAAATTGATGACCAGTTTTCTCGGTCTCGGTCTCGGTCTTGTCGGTTCGGTCTTTTTCTGCCCATCCCTACTTAAACCAACGCCCTCTTTTTTGAGTGATAATTAAGGATGGTAAGCGTTGCGGGGCCGGGTTGGGCTGGAACGGCCCCGCCCCCGACCCCCCGACTTCACCACCCGGCCCCGGCCCCGACCATGGATGCGGGTGAAAAATCCCACCCGCCTCCGACCCCTGCGGGGCCCCGCAACCCGACCGGGGACCCGCAGCAAGTAGCATCTTCATCCAATCAACATAGAAAATTCAAGACAATTATCAACTCAGTGCATCACATGGATTATCTCCTAAGAGACCAACTCACCAACCCATGCATTTGGGCACACTTTCATTCACAAGGCACAGTTGGAGACTTGGAGTATTGGAGATGGAGCAATACCTCGCATGTGAATCGCCTAGAGTATTTGGGAGTATTGGAGACGTGAATCGCCGGCCGCCGCCACGCCTGTGCGCTGCAACCTCGCCGGCTGCGCCCGTCGCCTCGCCACGCCCTTGCATGTCTCGCCGGCCGCCGCAACCTCGCCGCGTGCCCTTGCCTGTCTCGCCTCCCCACTGCGCCCTGCCGCCCTATGCGCTGCCGCCGCGCCCTGTGTGTCGCCGCCGCCCTGAGCTGGAGCCGTGGAGGGGATGGGAGACGTGAGGCCGGACGCCGGAGGGGAGATTGGAGAGGAGGGGAGGGGAGATGGTGGCTGGCGAGTGGCGACGCCGAGATGTGGCCGGCGAGTGAAATGTTCCCCCCGTCCCCTCCCCGGCCAAATGCGGGGCCCCGACCCCAGCGCACCCGCGGGTGAAAAATCCCACCCGCCCCTGCCTCCGTAGGGGCGGGTCCCCGCAGAGGACCCGGCCCCGCGGGGGAAATTGCCATCCCTAGTGATAATACCCAATAGTGTTTACATGAAACAGGTGATTAACGACCTATCGCCTATGAATGGGAGGACGCCAGAAGAGGACAGTTTCCTAATTAAGCCCACAATCGAGTTAAGACGATGTGATAGAATTTAGTTAGTTTCGAGGTGTAATGCATTCATGGCCTGAGCGGCACAAGCTAGCTACCTTCCGTTTTTATTCCCCTCCTTTTCTTCCTTTCCATGGTGTCATGGCGACGCTTAGCAGCATCGTCTTGGAGAGGAAAACCTGTAATGGCCTCCATGACTCATGAGACGAGATGAGCTAGCTTGTGAACAGGTCTCAAGCAGCCAATCAATGTGTTGGCGCCGGCCGGCAAAGTGGCTTTTTTGCGTCTCCGACATGTGAAAGCGCCCGTTGGCCCCCGTCAATCCAGGCTTGACAGCCGTTTCCTTTGATGGTGTCATGGATTCGGCCTGGAACAGCATCACTAGCGTTTGTCTGACGAGAAGGGAAGAAAAAAACGGACGTAAAAGTTCAGGAATAATGCAGTTTCCTAATCCTACCGTAACATCGATCCATTAATTTCAACATGGAAATTTTGGTTTTTCAAATGTTTAATTTGACCCTATACCTGTGACATGGAAATTTCTTTTTAACCGTTTACCATGGAATTTTCTGCAGATTGTTTGATCTCTGAATGGGTTCATGCACGCATGGCGTTGAATTAGGTTTGAGAGAACACGCATTGGTCACAACTTTGCATATATAGGTAGAGTAGCAAAGGACAAAAAGAGAGGATGGTTCAACTACATAGCGATCAAAGACGGCTGAACTGATTAGAAGTTAATAGTGACAAAAGCTTATGTAAAGTAATCTTGGGTAGGATGAGAACTCTATGGCGGGGAAGTTTCCTAATGACCACTGGGTTAAGCTTTTCCAACCTAGAGAGAGTAGAGTGTTGTTTAGCTCTGTCTTTAGGCGTGGATTCACGCAGAGAGACGCTTTGCCCCAATCTAATGCCTAAGCGCGTCAAGCTGATCTCATCTACCCGTCAACGTGGGTCAAACCAGACGACTTGGATGCCATTTTACACAAGGTTATGTGAACGCCCAGATTCTACTCCGTAGCAGTAGCACCATGCTGGCATGCTTCATGTAAACTTGACTACATATAAGCTGATTAGCATGATGGCCTTGGCTAGGAAACCAAATACCAAAAGACTTGAGGACAGATCCGTAACTGCAGGGTTTTTTTACTCGTTTTAGAACATAACCTTGTTATAAACTCATGGAAACTCGTACAGGAAGCTCTCTGTGGACTTTAGGCACTAGTATTTGAGAAGGCAGCTAATGCCAAGCTAGCCGGTGAGCAGGGTTTACCATTCCGACGAAATCCGGTCGGATTTCGCAAAATTTCGACGTTTCGACGAGTCTCGAAAGTAGAAATCATCTAAGATTTCGAGAAGTTTCATCCAAATTTAAATTTGAATTGATAAAAAAAAGAAAAAATCAAATAAAATCTTATAAATACTATGATATTCATAGAACCTATTGGGATATAAATTTTCGAAAAAAATGATATATTATGTGTATTTAAACTTACATCAGAGAAGAAAAGAATAAAAAAATAAAAAAAGGAAAACACTTACATGGGCCGGATTACCGATCGAAATTTCGATGATTTCGATCGGAATTTCGCCTAAACCGACCGGTTTTCAAGAATTTATCGGCAAACTCAGAGAATTTGTATTCAAATTTTGGTTTGTGAAATTTATTCGGAATTTACCGGTTTTCCACCGGATTTCACGAAATTCTGAATTCCGCCAGTGCCCAAAATGGAAGTGCATGTCGGAATCGTAAACCCTGCCGTGAGTGTTTAAGAAAAGTTATTAAGAACCCAATTTCCAGTTTCTAATTTATTTATTTTAATTCTATCAATATGAGGATTTTTTTAATTATTTTTTAGAATTTTATTTTTTTAAAATTTTATTAATAGACATTTCTGAAAATTATTTCTAAATCTGAACCTTTTGTCATGGCGTGGCCAAATCACTTTGTCACGCCACGCGTAGCTGGCGTGGCAGTGTTGTCTTGCCACACCACCGTGGCAGGCGTGGCAAAACAACGCTGCCACGCCAAATATTTTTTGGAAATTAATAAAACTTTTTAAAAATAAAAAAAATCCACTATGAGTTCTAAGAATTTGCCCGAGGAAATTGTTTGGAAGCAATAGATTTTGAAAGATAATACAACAGTTAGAAGTTTCACAATCACAAACAAGGCCTAAGGTACACATGCAGTTTGATATTGATAGAGACATGGTTCGCTTTTCTTTTCAACTCATTGAAAACTTGCATGCAACTTTTGAAGATTATTCGTTGAATTAATGTAATGAATTATCTACATAATTTCTAAAATAAACTTTCAGAAATAACTTAGAATAAGTTATCAAAATTAAGGTTCTAGGAAACACATTTTTAGAAGCGTATAACAAATAATCTACGAATATTTTAGTGAAATAAACTGTAAAGAAAGTACTCTAACGGGAATTTCCAAGCACACCTTAGATTGTGAGCCAATGATTTTTTTTAAGATTTATCAACGATTTTTGTGCTACGAATGTTTTTTGCAATGCAATTCCTCCGTCTCAAAATATAAAAAATTTTAGAGTTAAACACGTTACTAGAAGTGAATGGTGGAGGGTTGTGATTGGATGATTAGTGGAGAGGTAGGTGGAAAAAGTGAATGATGGAGGGTTATGATTGGTGAGGAAGAGAATGTTGGTGGAGAAATTATTATATTTAGAATAAATCCTGATGGCTAAAGTTGTTATATTTTGGGACGGAGGAAGTACATCTTACCTCTACGAGTATTTGAAGGTTGATTAAGCATATCAGAACCATTTCACTATTGACGGGTATATTGCTAATAGTGAAAAATAATTAATGTAAATACAAGTCCCATGTTAAGTTTATAATTTAAACTCGAGTGTGGCCATGTTTTACTACCACGGACATAACTAGCCGAGCTAAGCTCAGTTCGTACTTCGAAGTGCTACAAACACTCTGGCAAAAGTAGGAGATTTATTCTACTGTATAGTCTGTTATACTATCATATTGGAAGCCATTAAATTTGCACCGGTTTATTTTAGGGAAAGTTGCTTATTTGACCCTCTTTCGAAGCCTAATTATCAATATGACCCTACTTTTTTTTAGTTTGCTTATTTGATCCTACTTTTTAAAAACGAATACTCCGTTTGACCCTGTTTCTTTAGCACCGTTAAGATTTCATTTAAAAAAATAAAAGAAATAAATTTATTTTCCATAATGACCAAAATGCCCTCCAAGCCTATGCACATCTAACCCTATCCTGTGTGCTTGGGCAGCGACGCACGGAGGGGTAGCGGCGGCGGGCCTCTGAGGGAGGGAATCCGCGCCGGCGCCGGCTCGCGGAGGGAGGACGGCGACGCCGGCTGCGGGTGGAGGTAGCGTCTGTGGGTGGGCCGCGGCGATGCGTTGAGGAGGAGGGGCCGCTGCGACGGCTCGACGAGGAGCGGCGGCTCATGGAGGGCGGCGGCGGGCCTCCGAGGGAGGGAATCCGCGCTGGCGCCAGCTCGCGGAGGGAGGATGGCGACACCAGCTGCGGGTGGAGGTAGCGGCGGTGGGTGGGCCGCAGCGGCGCGTCGAGGAGGGGCCGCTGCCGTGGCTCGACGAGGGGCGGCGGCGGCGGGCCACGAAGGGAGGGAGGGAGGACGGCTGCGTCGAGGCGTGAAGGGATTTGCCGTGGTGGCGGTTGCGGGTGGAGGGCCGCGGCGGTGCGACGAAGAGCGGCGTCGGACAAGGGCCTAGAGGACGACGACTGTGGCGTTGCTCCTCCTCGATCTGAACAGGACGAGCGGTGGCGCTGCTCCTCCTTGACTAGAACAGGGAGGACGGCGGCGACGGGCGATTAGCGGTAGTGCACAGGGGAAGGGACCGCCGGCGGTGGTGGTGCGGAGAGGAGGGAGCACCGACGGTGGCAGCGCACCATGTGACATGTTTTTCTTTTTCGGTGGACACAAATTTGCACGAGAAACTGGGTTAAATTGACAAGGGTATAATTGGAATTTTTGTCTTGAGTTAACACCGTCACGTTGCCTTCACGGAATAGGGCCAAACCTCATCTTCGTTTAAAAAAAAGAAGGTTAAATGAGTAAAGTCGAAAAAACAGAGTTAGTCTTAAAATTAGGGTAAAAAAACAATTGTCCCTTTATTTTAATAAAGCCCAGTTTGATTTGGTTACAAACTAGGACGAATATACGCCAATTTTGGCATGCATAATTCTCCATTAACTTCTTCTATTCCAGTCCATTATCTTCTTTGCCACCATTGATATATGCCTAACAATTCTCACCGACTACGCTAATCACCGTGAGCCCATCCCCAAATCTGGGCCCTTGACGTACACGAGATTGGCCCCGCGGGGCGGCAAAAATGGGCAAAAATCGGTGAAGAACTTCGCTTCCACTCCGGTCTCCCCCGTCTCTCCCCGTTTGTTTCCTGTATATAACGCGCTCCTGCTGCCTCACACCCCCTTGGCCGCGAGCTCTGCACAGCGAGAGAGAGAGAGAGAGAGTAGAGAGAGAGGAGTGAGAGAGCCGGTGGCACCCAGCTAACCCACTCGGCCGCCACCAACTGCGGCCATTTCCGACGACGCCGACGCCGGGGCGCGCCCGTCGGTGCTCCCAAGTCCGCCTTCTCTGCGGGTGCGTGTGCTGCTGCATCCAGCATCCTCCTCCCCTTCTTCCTCACCGTGTGGCATCTGCGTGCCTCCTGTTCTTGTGTTGCTCCTGGGCTCTTCTTGATCTGGTTTGCGTTTGATGCGTTGCCGGTGGGAGTTGCTCGATCCGGGCTTGGTGCTTCTGGGTTTTTTTTTTCCGATGGCGATGTGGCGCCACCATTTGCTCGATTCGGTGTCCGGGTTCTCTCTTTTTTTGCGCGGCAGCAGCTAGCAGATTTATTTTTCTGTTGCCTTGCTCCTAGCCAGTGGCGATGTTGGATTTTGCAGCTCCCTTCTACTTCGCATTTTTATCAATTATTTACTCTTTTTTTTGGTGTGTGTGTGTAGTTGTTCTCCTGGGCTTTGCTCTCACTATGATGCTGTTCTTCTCGGGAAAATTTCAGTTCTTTGCCTGCTACTCTCTCTCTCTCTTCCTTCGTCCTCTGTGGCCGCATTGGATTGTTTTCTTTTGCCTCGGTGAACTCCATGCTCACACGAATCCTCCCTTGTTTCTTGCTCCGATTTCAGATGAGAAGCTGCTCCACCGCGGCGGCGACAGTGTGGTCGGCCACCGCCTGAGACCGGAGAGCCATAGCTGACGGCTCGGGGGAAGATTCAGGTGGGCTCGCAGAGAACGAAAGAGAGTCCCCATGGGTTCTTTGGAGACGACGAACACGCGGTACCGGCCGGCCGGAGCAGCGTAAGATCTCCCTACCACCACGCTGTCCCGATCTGAAGAAAGGCTCCACCTTTGCGTGCCTCTCTTCCACTGTTCTTCTCTCTCTCTCTCTCTCTCTCTCTCTCTCTCTCTCTCTCTCTCTTTAGCTGGTTTACATGCTTTGATGTATGTGCTCGCTTGCTAACCCGGCTACTGTGGTGCGTTGCTTTGCCATGTGCTATCATGTGTTGCATGTCGAGTTCGATTGACTCAAAAACTAATTACTTCTACTTCTTGGTCGATGCGTGGCGCCCGGCGCCGGCCATATCGTCGTGGTATTCTTGCAGGAGGTGGTAGTGGTGATGGTGTACTGGTTTTTAGTACGCTGTACAAGATGCCGTTGTTCTCCTTTTGGTCTCCGTTCATCATGCTCTCCTCCTTAACTTCCCTCATATTGTAGGTGGTGTGGTGGGTGGTAGTTGTGCAGCTTTTATGGCATCCATCCTTCCATTTTTTTCCATCCTCCCCCTTGTTGATGCTGCTGCTGATTACAGCTAAGAGAGAATCAGAGAACAGCAGAAACGTGCTATCTCTGCATGTTTTACTCTCTCTTTTCTAGTGTGCTGCTGCTCCTGATGCGAGTTGGTTTGATGCTGATGTGTGGAGAAAATGGATGTCTGTTTTTGCGGATTTTCCTTTATCTCCAGACGGAAAGTTGGTTTTACTTTTGTGGCCATCTGATCCCCTTTTTAGCGGCTGCAATTTGGTTAAATTGGATGTGCTGTGATGTGGAGCCAGGCGTCGGTGGT